GGAATGATGATCACAAATATAACCAGAATGTAGGGCAATACATGGTTTTCATTATCATATTAAAAATAATTCAAAGGAATCAATAACTAAACCCAAATGCAAATAAAGGCCCTGGTTCAAATTCACTGAGTAAAAGAACAAAAGTATTAGGAGCAAAATGCTTCTGAATTAAAAATAATTTATTTCTTATTGAGAGTGTTAAATTTTTAAACCATTAGTTAAAATTAACACATAGTTTAACCAGAATTTTAACACTGTAGCTTGTTCAGTGTGGGCTACCTTATACTCTCAGCTCATTTATCTCTCAGCTGTTGAAGAACATTTCATTAGATGATGCATTTAATAGAGAAAATCTGTTTCTGAAAGTTGTCTGATTAAATGTACATTTCCCTATACAACTTAAGTAACGTAATGAATGGAAATAAACATCAAAACTGCACACAGCTGCTGTTTATTCAGGCACTGTATGCAGTATGTTGTTACTTTCATCACTGTATCTTTCAGGAAGGAAGTTTTTGTTTTCACAAAACACAGAACTGTGACTGCATGTATTTCATTTTTGCATTTGATAAAGTTGATGCACAATATTTCTCTATTTGATAATAAAGCAACAGTTGGCACTTCCCCAAAGAAAACAGATCCAGTAAATACACACAAGAAAGAATAACCTTAACAGCAATAGATTATTGAAAACGTTTTTAGTGCTCACCCTCACTTGAGCGAAGGCAGTGCAGATAATAGCTGAGATGTCACCTCAGTATCTAACAGAGGTGATGAAAAACACCCAGGTTGATTGCTGATATGCTGACAAACTTCCTCTCTCTGCACCACCCTTCTTGCTAATGCATCTTGGTGCATAATGTCTGCAGTACTTTATCAGCACCTTGTAAGTCGCATACGTGAACAGCATCTGTATCTGCCTTTATCTTACATTGTTGCACTTACACAGGCCTTGTGTGGGTTTGTGTGTTTTTGAGACTATTTGCAGTGCCTTGGCTGCTTCAAAAGGCCAGAAATCTTCTGCAGTTAGCCTACCTCTCATGTTTCCGAATGCTCTAATTTGCGTCAGCCCATTTATCACAATCACAAGGACCCTATCGGCTCTTATTGTCTTCTGTGAACAGTCATATCCTCAGATAAATGCCTCCTGTAAGGGTACTAAAAACACTCGTTTGTGTAATGTACACCATGCCCAGCTGGAGCCCATTCTCTGGGCCACAAGTGGCTACAGGGGGCTATTCTCTTCTGTCTGTGGCATGTGATTATGTGCATGCAAGCACCTGTTTCCTGTGACAAACACAACTTTAACAATTTTCCCATCTGTATATGTGTGTGTGTGTGTGTGTGTGTGTGTGTGTGTGTGTATATACATACATGTATGTATGTATGTGTGTGTGTATGTGTGTGTGTGTGTGTGTGTGTATGTGTGTATATATATATAGGTTCTTTGAAAGAATACAGCCTGGAATAAGCCAAGAAGCGTGTTTATCTCCTATTCACAGCATTTGGCCGGACTGAATGAGTCCATTAGTTTTTGGTCTCCAGTGGTGTATCATTTCAGCTGGTTCAACTCAAGCCTGACATTTTCAGCTCATCATTGGTAGACATGAGAGATTTAGAGAGCCTCTTGAAAAGTCATCCTCACCAGCTTGAGTTACAGGCCAAAAATCCTCCTTTTGAATCTCAGCTGAGATGTCCTACAGCCACAGGCAGGAGGGAGATTTGTACTGGCATCTGGGCTCGAGCAGAGAGCCTTAGTCCCCATGATGACTGCCACCATAGCTGCTGCATTTGTGGTTTCACACCTACTGTATTACATGAGCAGAAAGGTTCTTCAGCGTTTATAGGTTCAGAGGTCTTTCAGTGTTATTATTGCACATTTCAGTGTGGAAATAGCCAGTAATAATGGGGATGAAAAATGAGCCACTCGTCTTTCATCTCCGCCAGGTGTCTATGAGGCCTGTGTTACATAAGCACCCCTGCAGATATGACCCCAGGTTTAACAGAGGGCAGAACAGCCATACATCTTCCATAAGTGGAGATCACAGGGCTCGAAGAAGGGACCATCACTGCAGATTTTGCTGGATGGACAGAAGCAGGAGCTGTTGGTGGAAGAGAGGCCTGACAACAGCTCCTCTGTGCAGGCTGGGGTGGAGGTGGCCCCTCACTGCTCCCTGTGAAACATCGTCTCTCAAACACTTGCAAACCAGCTCAGGCAGATTTATGGGACAACGATCCCCCCACCCTTGTTGTCAGCTCCACAGTCTCTCCTTAGGGAAGCGAGGCCCCCCACTTGTCCTCAGTGTCTCTTTCTTTGTGCCCTGTGACCCCGTGCAGCCTTGTGCCCGGGCAGCAGCAGAGAGGAATGTGCAAAACACACAAGGCAGAGAGGAGTGAGAAAATATCCGTCTGACACACAGTTGGGGTCATGATGTTCTTCTGCCACTTGTACCCCAAACTCAAATACCAGAAAACATATTTTTTCTCCAGTAGCAGAGTAAAAGAACATGTTTTTATCCCATCTTGTTTGAATAGAGCTTTATTGAAATTGTTAATGAACACACTTGATCGGAGTTTTGTTCTAAACTTTCAGTCTGAGCACTCACATTGTGCCCTGTGGAGCAAACGTACACTGTTAGCAGAGATGTCGTAGATTCAGCGAGACCGATTAAAACGTCTAGTGTGAGTTAACACGTTGTACACAGTCAAAATTTGCAGCGTCTGCCCAGCCTTAGTTTAAAACAGCAGTTTAATATTTTGGAGAAAACGTATTATCTTTATCAGCGGAATCGAGAAATTTTTCTAACGCAAAATTACAAATGTATATCATTACATCCCCACTAATAAATATGTAAAATGACCATTTCTGGTTTTAGGTAAAGTTAGCAAGAAGTTGTTTCCCCTGTGCTTCCGGTATTTATGCTAAACTAGTTTAATCATTTCTTGACTTGAAGCTCATGAGATCGATATTGAACTTGTCATCAAACTCTGAGAAAGAAAGTGACTAAACTCAGTAAGTTTTCCTTAAAAAACAATAACTTGTGCACATTGTCAGTGACTACAAATCTTCCTCTGAAGTGGATGAAATGACTCGATTGAAATGATTTGTGATTTCCACCTCCACAGTGAATGCTGGCTGAATCGACACAACAATCCCAGACCGACATCAGTCTTTCTCTCAGGGAAGAAACTGCTCTCACAGACATGATGTGCTGTGCTTAATGTTCTCAGTCACACTACTCAAACATTCCAGTAGATTAATTCCCTCCTGCATCATTAACTGAATTAACCACAGATCAGAGGGAACACTCACAGCACTATAGCTCTGCAGCCTTTAGCAGCCGCTCCAAGGCTCCAGTTTGACTGACCTCACTAACATGAAGGGTTTCATTTATGTCTGATTGTCACAGTTGTATTTCAATGACCTGAATAGCTCCTTATACACAGCTAAAGGCTTTGCTTTATTTGG